CAGAGGGCATCAGATCCTATTATAGGCAGTTGTGAGCCATCATGTGGTTGCTGGGAATTGAACTCAGGACCTCTGGAAGAGCAGCCAGTGTGCTTAACTGCCCTGGGCAAATTCCTTAATGCAGTTGATGGTTGTGAACTGCTAAAAGCTCTTATATTGTCAGGAAGTTACTTATTCATGTGAACTGCTCAGAGTGTATGTAGCCCATCTCCATATGCTCTAGCATTAGCCATGGCTATTATGAAAATTATATCCCATGAACAGATGCCCTCTTCGTGGTTCCATTGCTATGATAAAGACACCACGACCTAAAGCATCTTGGGGAGAAAAGGGTTTTTTCATTTTATATATCCTGAGTCATAGTGTATTGAGGGAAGCTCAGGCTAGACAGGAACCTGGAGGCAGGAGCTGATGCAGAGGTCATGGGGGTGTGTCACTGTCTTGCTCCTCCTGATTTGCTCAGTTTTCTTTCTTATAGCATCCAGGACCATCATCTCAGAGTGGCACTGCCCGTAGTGAGCTGGACCCTCCTACATCAATCATCAGTCAAGAAAATACTCAACTGACTTACCTATAGGCAAATCTTTTTTTTTCTTTTTGGAGGGGTTTCAAGACAGGGTTTCTCTGTATTTCTTTGGAGTCTTTCCTGGAACTCACTCTGTGTAGACCAGGCTAGTCTTAAACTCACAAAGATCTGCCTGCCTCTGCCTCCTGAGTGCTGGGTTTAAAGGCGTGCATCACCAATGCCCGGCTTACCTTATAGGCAAATCTTAAGGAGGTGTTTTCTCAATTGAGAGTCCCTCTTCCTAAATAACTCTAAGTTGTGTCAAGTTGACAATTAAACTAGCTTTCTTCCTTCCTTCCTTCCTTCCTTCCTTCCTTCCTTCCTTCCTTCTCTCTCTCCCTCCCTCCTTCCTTCTGTTCATTCTCCCTCTCTTCCTTCTCTTCCTTTCTCCCCCCCTCCCTTTCTGTAGATACTATGTATCCCCGACTGACCTGGAATTCAGTATGTAGTCTAGTCTGGCCTTCAACCCACAGAGATCTGTCTGCCTTTACCTCTACACCTGACCTCACGAAGTTTTTAAATGAACAAAGGTTTAAAACAGAAGAGGACATGTAAGCAGGACATGGTGGAGGTCGAGCACCCTGGAGGCGCAGGCAGGAAATGGCTGAGAAACTGAAGCTCTTCAGATGCTCTGACCCTGTCTGAAGTATGTGACAACATCCAGTCCATGAAAGACTGCACAGCTACAGGAAGCACTTATGCAGGATTTCCCACACCATCTTCCTCCTGAACAGAGGCGCGTGCTGCTGAGAGAAGGTGATGTGTTGGCCTCTGGAAAGATGATCTGCATATTTACAGACACACATCCCACAATCGCTCCCATGCCACTGCTGAGGAATCTCCTCTGCTGTCATGCTGTATTGCTTCCACTCCAAAGGGTTCAGATCAGTATTCATCCTGCAGAGATATTGGAAAATCATCTCAGGGATATCTGGTCTTTTCTGTCCCATCAAATCCAGGCAGACGATATTCTTTTCTCTTAGGTCTATTGCCACCATGCTCCAGTGCACATCCAGGTAAATTGGCACCAGAGTAAGTTCCTTTGCAAAGAGGTTTACTGTCTGGGTCCATCTTTTGTCTGAGCTGCAGCCTCCAGACTTTAATTTGGTATAAAAAAGGGTGATAAGTGCATGAACTGACAGATATCCTTGATTTTGCTTTCTTTCCACAAGAAGACTCCTGTAAAAGTTGATTCTTTGTCATTGAGCCTCTGGGTGTCCTTTTGTGTCTGCACATCTCCTCGAGTGATTTGCAGTTGAAGGCACAACTCAAGATCTCACCATCTTCTGGTCCTGGGCCTAGTACACTACTTTTCCATGTCTTCTGTGACATCAGGGCCGTGGTCCAGATCTCTGCCCTTCTCTGGGTCTGCAACAGCCTTTTCCTTGGCCTCAGGTATGAAATTTTGTTGTTGAGAATGCCACTGCTGATAATGTCTATATAATTTGGGCCTGAGCCCCTCCCAGAGAGTCAGGCTGGGGGTGATGTCCCCTACTGTCATCTTTGAGGTTTGTTTCAAGTATCTCCTCTGCATCAGAAATTTTCTTATCTGAACACCTTTTGTCATTTCTGACTGGTGACTGATCTCTCGTGACAGCACAGGCAGAGAATGTTCTCTGGCTCAGCGTGAGTTGGTTCAGAGCTGTGAATCTGTCCTTCTTCGGGGTGTCCACAGGACTCGTGTGAGCACTGTGAGGGTCAGAGCTCACATGATCACCGGTTGAAGGTGTTCCAACAGCCTTCGGTACTTTCTGTTGTGGTGTTTCTGAACACTTTTCTCTGTGTTGCAGTAGGGACGCTTGTGACCCTTGTCACCATCTACAGACTTCTTCTCAGTCACAGGTATTTCTGTGAGTCTTCGGTGCACTCTCGGGGCTTTAGCTGTAATGACCCTCTTCCTGGGGCTTCTGTACCTGACCCTTGCTGGATTCTTCACACCCCAGCTCAATTTCACCCTCTTCCTGCTTCACCCTCTTCCTGCTCCACCCTCTTCCTGCTCCACCCTCTTCCTGCTCCACCCTCTTCCTGCTTTACCCTCTTCCTGCTTCACCCTCTTCCTGCTCCACCCTCTTCCTGCTCCACCCTCTTCCTGCTCCACCCTCTTCCTGCTCCACCCTCTTCCGGGCTCGGCTGGCTCTTGAGTCTGCACATCGGCTCCTCTCTCTTCCTGACATTTCCCTGGATGTTCCGGGGTTCGCGGGTCCACACTGCTGGCGAGGTCGCCATGGACAGGGACTGCCTGGATTGCCTTTGCTCAGGTGTCTGCTGTCTGCTGTGGTACAGCTTTCTGATTTCCAAGTCAAATAGCAGGCACCAGTAGTCTCGGTGGGTACTCTTGGGTTGTTGTCCTGATTGCTGAAGGATCAGTTAGTCCACTTGGAGGCATCATATACCACACTGGACATGTTAGTCCAAGGTCAGAAACTGTAGGGTGAAGAGATCAGATCTCCTTTTTATCAGAGGAGGTTGCCTTTGTTGTTGCGGTCAGCTGGAATGTGACGTCAACCATATGAAAGGACATCCGTCTAATGTCTTTAAGGTGGCAGTTCACCAGTATCACTGTAGAAAACTCGGCTGAGTCCAGGCCCTGTCTCTTGGGGCAGGTCCTTTGGGAACAATCCAGAAATCACACTGAACCCACTGGCTAGTTACCTTAAGACACCAGTGTACAGTGCAGCCAGCACCCTAGAGACATGCTCCAGAACTGCTGACCAACTCAACTGTTGCCTTGGCCATTGCTTCAGGGTTCCATAACTGGTTGTGATGCATTTTGATAGATCACAAATCAATGTTCCATACTGGATTGAGGCCCAGTCTGGTGGTTTGAAAGAAAATGGCCCCCAATGGGAGTGATACTATTAGGAGGTGTGACTTTGTTGAAGTAGGTGTGGTCTTGTTGGAGGAAATGTGCTACTGTGGGGTGGACTTTGAGGTCTCCTGTGCTCAAGCTACAGAACATTTCCTGTTGCGTGCAAGCTGTAGGATTCTCCAGCCCCTTGTCTGTGGGCACGCTTCCATGTCTTACTTTGATTATAATGGTCTTTCCCCGTTGCAGACTGGAGGCTTAAAGTTTACTGTTCATAGAAGATGTTAAATCCTGAAAGGAAGTTGAAAATGTTGAACACCTTAGGTTCTCTAGCCTTACTTCTATTATCCGATGTTCATTAGATAAATGGGTCTAAGTGTGGCCCTCCCCTCCCCTCCCCTGCCCTCTCTTCTGTGTGGTATGTGTATGTGTTTGTGTGGGCATGTGCACAGGCCTGTGGGGTACAATGTGTGCACATGTGTGTGGAGGCAAGAAGTTGATATTGTCGGGCGTTGGTGGCACACACCTTTAAATCCAGCACTTGGGAGGCAGAAGCAGGAGGATCTCTGAGTCCAGGCAACCCTGGTTTTCAAAGCAAATTCCGTATAGGCAGTGCTACACGGAGAAACCTTGTCTCGAAAACAAATAAGCAAACAAAGTTGATGCTGAGTGTCTGCCTTGATTGCTCTGCCCTGAGCCTGGAGCTCACAGATTTGGCTAAGTTGACTGGCCTGAGATCGCATGTGGATTCTGGATGCAGGTCCCCGTGCCTGTGTGGCAGGTGCTTCCCCATTGAGCCACCTTCCCAGCCCACTTATCTCTGACTACCCCCTTCTTATGGAAAATGTAACCCCAAACCGCATACAACAAGAGCATAGTGAACCTGCCAATGCTCAGCCTCACTCTAGTAACTGCAGACAGACAGCCGATCATTTTGCTGACCTTCATCTAAATTTCTCATTGGAGTGTCATTTTAATACAACTCTCGGACCTCGTATTTCATTTGGAGATACTTCAGTGTTGGACAGTATAAGGAAAAAATTCTAAAGCAACTGTAGTGCTGAGATCACACCCCAAACAACGGTACAAGGCACATGTGGTTGTGTGCACTTTAAATCCAGCTTTTGGGAGTCAGAGGCAGCAGATCTCTGTGAGTTTGAGACCAGCCTGGTCTACATTGAGTTCTGGATCAACCAGGGCTACGTAGTGATACTGTTTTAAAATAAAAAAATAATAATAATATAAAAAAGTAAAAAAAAACAAGCTAATAGCAATTCCATCACTTGTTCAGAAATATTTTTCTTTCCTTTTTAAATCCCCTAACCCCGTGTGTTCGTGTGTGTTGATGTGTGTTGTGTGTGTGCTCTCATGCACGAGCCTGTGTATTGATGTAAGCATGTCATGATGTGTGTTTTCAGGATGGAGAACAACATACTGGACTTATTTCTCTCCTTCTACCTGGGAGCTCACACACACACACACACACACACACACACACACACACACACACACACACACACCAATGGAGAATTGTGAAAACAACTCACATTAAACGTGCCCCTAGTTTGCAATATTTATTTTCCCCAAGTAAGCAGGCGTTGTATTCAGTGAGATAATTTTTTTTTCCAGATTGGTGATTACCCAGAATTTTTGAGTTCGGCAGATAGAGAAATCAACCAGCACATTCGTATTGTTTATTCAACGGTTTTGAAAAAAGAGTGTGAAAAATCCAAAGGTGTTGGGAAATTCCTATTTTCACTTTACCACAGCAATGCTAACAAAAAAGGTATGTAGTACATGACATAAGGAAAAAAACAGCTGTTCTTTATTTTTTTAATCTTTTTTTAAGACAAGGCTTCTCTATATTTTGACATCCATAGATTAAAACTATTTTTTTCTGGTGAAGTATATCCAGAAGAGAAGGCTTATGAACCTGGGTCCATTGGCCATCTTTCGAGCCTTGGGCCTCCCACTAGGAAGGGATGGTCATTTAATAGCATTTGCTCATCAAAAGTAATTTTTAGAACTGGGCGTGGTGGCACACACCTGTAATCTCAGCACTTGGAAGGCTGAGGTGGGAGAATTGCAAACTCAAAACAAAACTCCCATCTAAGAAAGTAGAAAAAACGAGAAAAATTGCTGCTAATGCATTCCTGGCCATAGTTAAAGAGGTAAGACAAGTTATATTAGATCCTTTGAAACAGAGGCCTTAATATCTAGGATGGGGATTAACTCTGGCTGTGCCATGGGCAATGGGGATTTATAACCAAGAAGCAGGATAGGTTCATTAGATAGAAAACTTCTCAGAAGAAGCATCCAATGGGCGTTCAGCTAATTTGACCAAGCAGGATGCTTGCTGAAGGCAGACTGGGGTGGTCAGACATTACCTGGGTAATATGGAAGGTGGAGAGCCAAATTAGACACATAGAGTGACCATATATAGAAGATAAAGTGTTCTGGGATTCTTAGTTTTGAGATAGTATTTGCTGTACAGCTCAGGTTTGTGGTGAAAGGACTTGCTGTCCTTACAGAGGATCTGGGTTTGGTTCTCAGCACCCACAGTTGGCTCACAGTCATCCATAACTCTGGTTCCAAGGGATCCAATGCCCTCTTCTGACCTCCATGGGCACCAGACACAGGGGTGGTGTGCATACATCCATGCAGGCAAAACACTTATACACATTAAATAAATAAATAAAATGATTGCATTCCTAGCCTAGAAGAGAATTGGGAAATGAAGGGTTGAGGTGGCCTGTGGACAAGCCCTTCTTTGGCTATCAAAGTAGAACAACCTATCACTGCCCACTAGACTCCCCTCCAAGTCCGAATGAGAGCCTTCCAGGTGTCAGACAGCTACCCGGTGGAAGGAAGTTGTATGATGTTTTTCCCCTTTCATGGACAAGTGCCTCTGCACATGGGTAGCTACAGCATGGAAACTGTTTGTCCCAGGCATAATTAGCAGGGATATGAAATCCCTGGTTGCTCACCAGGTCTCTTGTCACACTAATTAGGGTACCGAACTGGTGTTGCTTGCCTTAAATGCATATTTGACCTGCCCACAAGCATCACTTTCTTGGCTCTTTTTCAACATGGATAGGAGCATGAAAACATATTAAAAGAATGTAATGAAGTGGACTGAAGTTTAATGAAATTGCAAAGCCTAGAAACTTTGCAAATGACTGTTAAAAAGTGAAGACGTTATGTTGTGTACGTGTGCATGGCCAGTCAGAGCCCCTTCCATCCCTTGTTCTTTAGTTTCACCCCCAAGGATACTATATGACACCTTTTTCAGCATACTGGCCTTGAGATCAGAGATCTGCCTGCCTCTGCCTCCTGAGTGCTGGGATTAAAGGCGTGCGCCACCGTTCTTGGCCCCATCTGACATTTTTGTGTGGATGTTCTTTGAAACACAGTGCTACCACCGCCACAAGAAGACATGATACACATTATAAGATAAAAACCACTCATCCTTTCCATCATGATAATATTGATGTGCTCTGTATTTTCTGTTGTCCTGTATGCTGTTTGGTTAGGGTATTCCTGTATATAGAGGGACCCCATGGTTCACCTCCTGTGTGACCCCGTGGCTCACCTCCTGTGTGACCCCGTGGTTCACCTCCTGTGTGACCCTGTGGTTCACCTCTGTAGGATCCCATGATTCACCTTTGTAGGATCCCATGATTCACCTCCTGTAGGACCCTATAGGTCACTTCTTAGATGATCTGTTATGTGGTCCTACAGGAAGGAGTAGGCTCACGCCTATCTGACCAGCTGTGTGGAAATAGTCATTACCAAAGTCTTTAATATTAAGGATGATGTCATGACCAAGAGAAGCCAGCAAGCATTAACTGCTAAGGAGTTAAATAAAGGATAATTATTAGGACTGACTTGTATCCTCTTGGGTGAAAGCCCAGGGAATATTTTTTTCATGTGGCAAAGTTGTCCACTCTCCTTCATTATCTGAACAAAGGAAACTCAAATCATAGATCATCCATAGTAAAAAAAAATACCTGGTTTAAATCACCAGACACAGTTATTAGGCCCACTTTTTTTTTCCGGAGGTACAGAGAAAAAGCAGTTTTTTTGTAATGGGGACAAGGAGACTGTACTCGGGCTCTGAAGTAAAGTAGGAACTTGGTCAGCTTTGTGGTTGGTGGAATGTCTGATCCCCAAGTCAACAGAAAGAGGCAGTGACATTGGCAGTAGCATTGTTGTGTCACTACCCTTTAATGACATTAGGTCCTCTTGAACTTTAATTATATAATTAATGACCACATTACATTTTTGTTTTTAAGTCAAGCAAGATAATAATGGACCTAGCTTGTGGAGAAGAAAAGATTCTAGGAGTCTGGAAAAATCCTCTCTCAGGTAAGATTATTTTGACTTGCTGATCAAAACTTATATTGCAGTTTGAATTGTTTTAAAAATACACTTATTTATATTGTATGTGGTGTGTGTGCACCTGAATGTGTGTATGTGAGTGTGTGCACATGTGTGCAAGTGTGTGCATACAAATATATACATGAGTGTGTGCATGTGACTGTGTACCTGTGTGTAGGTGAATGTGTGCGTGCATGTGATTGTGTACATGAGGGTGTGCATGTGTGTGTGAGTGCACATGTAGGCCAGAGGGTACCTTGAAAGAGTAGGTTCTCTCCTACATTGTGGGATGTGGGAACTAAATTTAGGTCATCTGCCTGCCTTGGTGATTGGTACCTTCACCTGCTGAATCATCTCACTGGCTCTCAATTTTATAATACATTTTTCTATTACTTGCTTTAGATTTGTTCTGTGTATTTCATATATACAGCAATAAAAATGTATTTTTAAAAAACTTTCCAAATTAAAATCCAGTTATTTAAAAATGACACAATATGATATTTTTTCTTTTTCACAGAATATATAGATGTCACAATGTCACTTTAGTAGATTAAAGTTGAATTAAAAATAATTATTGACCTTGAACTCTGTGTAGAGCAAAATGTTAGGACTTGTAACATTTCTCTTGGTTTTGCTTTTTCTCATATGGAACTAGGGATGACCTTGAACTCCTGATTCCCCTGTCTTTACCTCACTAGTGTATGGATTACAGGCTACCATACCTTTTTAGAAAATGCCATGGTGCTGGGGACCAAACCCAGGACTTTCTGCATTTGAGGCAAGCACTCTTCCAAGTGGGCTACATCCCTAGCCCTGAGCTCTGTAGTGGACACAAAGGCGAATGAGGCATTGTTCTTGTCCTTGAGAAGTCTGACCAGGTTTTATAACGTCTGTACGGAAGTTATGAAATGCTAAACATGCTAAGTGCTCCAAATGAGTTAGCACATAGTTCTTGTCCTTGAGAAGTCTAGCCAGGTTTTATAACGTCTGTATGGAAGTTATGAAATGGTAAATATGTTAGGTACTCTAGATGAATTGAAGCAATTTGTCTAAGAGATTTAAAGAGGGGGGAATTAAATTCAGTTGTGGGGAGAGGTCAGGGTCCCAGGTGACAGTTGGTAATGGGATAGTTCACAAAGAAATGGGCCATCAAGGAGACTGGCTGTGAAGACTCAGGCAGATAATACATGGAACATGAATTATGCTATGGTGACTCATCTTGATTCTCAACTTGACAAATCAGGGACGAGACCTTAACTCAAGAACTGCCTCCATCAGATGGGACTGTGGGCATGTCTTAGGGAAAATTTCTTGGTTGGTAGTTGATGTAAGAGGGCCCATTCCACTGTGGGCGGTACCATCCCGAGGCAGGTAGGCAAGCCTGGGCTGAACAAGCCCCATGAAGTTATTCAGTAAGCAGCATTCCTCCATGGTTTCTGTTTCAGGTTCCTGCCCACATTTCCCAGTGGTGGGCTTGTTACCTTGACGTATAAACCAAATAAGCCCTTTCCTCCCCTTAGTCACTTTTGGCCATAGTATTTATCACAGCAATAGAAAAGAAAACTAATGCGGGGTATAAGCAGTGCTATGTGGTCTCAAAATAGAACATGAAGGTAAAATTGGTCTCATACTTTAGAAGGCCTTTAAAAATTTTTTGTTTTATTATTTATTTATGTGTATGTGTTTTCGTGGAGGCTAGAAGACGACATCAGATCCTGACTTCTCTGAAAGTGAAGGAAATGTCAATATAAATTGTAAAAAGATATTGTTTTTATAACTTCAAGTATAATACTATCATACAATGGAGTGTCTGAACCCTAAGGAAAGGGGATTGCTGAATTCTAAGAGCTTCCTGTGCAGAGATAGGTGGGCATGAATTCCTGTGGTAGGAGGAGAAGTTCATATCAGTGCATTATCACAAAATACTGGAAAAAGCGACTTCCTGCCTGGGCAGTGTTAGAAGCGAGTGATTTGTAGGGCAGGTGACCCCGTGGTCTGCAGAGTAGGTGTTGCAGCACGGGGCTGGTCCTCCATGCTCTTTCTCACTTCACTTTCTGTCTTGGGTTGAACCACAGGATCTCCTAGTGTTCTTCTGTTTCAGGTGGGGTTACTATTGCAGTAACGAAACACCACGACCAAAAAGGCAACTTAGATAGTGCCTTAGTCAATGATCTATTGCTGTGAAAAGACATCATGACCACAGCTCTTATTAAGGGAAGCATTTAACTGGGGCTGTCTTGCAGTTTAAGAGGTTTAGTCCAGCTGGGTGGTAGTGGTACCTACATTTAATCCCAGCACTTAAGAGGCAGAAGCAGGTGCATCTCTGTGAGTTCCAGGACAGCCTGATCTACAAAGTGAGTTTTCGACTAGTCAGGACTACATGGTGAGACCCTGCCTCAAAACATACAAACATATTTTCTGTGAACTATTCCCAGGTGTGGAACACACTCATCAAGGGGTTGGTTCTGTTTCCCCACACTGCACTGTATTGCAGGGCATTTGTTTACATTGTGTGAAGATGTGTTGTGACTGGTTTAATAAAAAGCTGAACAGCCAATAGAGGGGCAGGAGAGGATAGGCGGGACTTCCGGGGAGAGAGGGGAACTTAGTAGATCTTTGGGGCAGCAATAAGAGGGAACTTGTTTACTTAGCCCGTGTGCTGATTTGTCATGGCTCAGCAAGGGAGGACCACTGAAGATCCTAGGCAATGTGGGTACTTTGATACCCACCCCCTTGGCATCAGCTTTGGAGCACTGCCCGTCCAAGTTGAGTCAGGGCTCCAGTTTGCTGGTAATGAAGACCACCCTGAAGTACAGAAGGACTCTAGTCACCAATGCTATTTTGTCTGTTACATAAAAGCTGCAGGGCATACATTATCCTGATAACGGTGCCAAGCATCCAGGACAAGGTTTGTCAGTCCACTTGAAGAGCTGGTTTCCCCGAGGCACTCCTGTTGAGCACCGCTGCTGAGGTTGAGTTGGTTACAGGGACCTAAATTTGCTCATTAGTAAGTCAGAGTCTGGAAGGTTCACATAACTTTCCAAGGTGAGATTGCTGCTTGCCTAGCGCGTGCTTGGCTGGGCCGTGCGAGGAGACAGCCTGGGTCAGCTGGATTGTGAAGTAAAGCTGACCTGGAGTAAGAGCAGAGCCCTGTGGCTTCCCAAGCCTGGCTGTGTCCCTTCATCTCTGTTGCAGGCTACCAAATCCTCAGCTCTTCATCTCTGTCCCAAGCTACTGAATCCTCAGCTTTGGCTGTGACTTTGCTGGCTCTCGGGAAGATTCTGATAGTGAGCCCCAAGGCTGGGTAATTACTGTCCTGCATAGTCTACAGTATGTCAGTCATCTTGACTCTGCTCCCCGCACCCCCTATCTCCCTCTCCTTCTGTTTTTCCTCCCCCCACCCCACTGAGGATGGAACTCATCACCTTGTGCCCGATAGATAAACACACACCCACTGAGCCACCCACCTTCAGCACCAGCTTCCCTTTCCTCACTGTAGATCCCCTGGAACAAGCCTGGGTTTCTCCATCAGCATTGCTGAACCTGCATCCATCCCAATTCCATTCTTAGTAACACTCCCTTCCCTGACCGGCTCCTGCCAGCAGCACAAATCATCTTTTCACAACCCCCCACCCCCTGTCTTTTCAAGACAGGGTTTCTCTGTATGGCCTTGGAGGCTGTCCTGGAACTGGCTCTGTAGACCAGGCTGGCCTCGAACTCACAGAGATCCACTTGCCTCTGCCTCCCTACTGCTAGGACTGAAGGTGTGTGCCACCACTGCCCGGCGATAACATTTGTTTCTTGATTAAAATCATTTGGTGGCGTCCAGTGCACTGGATGTCTACTGTATAGGTGCCCTGGGCCCTCACCTGTTGCTTAGAGCCCCAGCTTTGTCCCTTGTCACTTCCCAACTAGTCACAAGGGCAAGGCATGCCCCCCTGTTCCATCTGTTCCCCTCTAACAAGGCTGTGACTGTCCCACTGGGATAGCTGACTGAAAAATACCCAGCCTAGTCCGGGGATCAGTGGTTCTGAAAACATGGCAGCTTATGTGTCCCTACCCGTGGAATCCGGGAGTCTCTAAATAAAGGGCGTAGGGACAGAGGTGTCTGTTTTCTGAGCGTGTTCTGGCAGTGTCGTGTCCGTAATTAACCATAGGGATCAGGAGCCTAAACAAAAGGTGAAAAACACTAATTAGAGGACCAGAGGATGCCCACAGGTGCGGAGCTCAGCACCTCTTAGATGTAGGCTGGAGCCTAATTATGAAAAGCTGCCGGTCAGAATGAGGCTGCTATCTTGGGACATCAGACTTACATAAGTGCAGTCACTTTCAGGAGAGTGATAAGCAACATGGTGCCCAGGGATGGAAGGCCGACAAGTGATCTCTGGAGATGAGATGAGCGTTTAGGCTTCTCTCTCCCTAGGATAACTTCGTTATAAGTTCCACATATTTGTGGATCTTACAAAAGAAAACACAGTTTTTAATTTTTTTAAAAAAATTCACTTGTGTCTGAGTGAGCATATGTTTTTTGTGGGGGTGTGCCTTTGTATGTGTGGAAGCCAGAGAAAGATGTCAGATACTGTCCTTTGAAACAGGAACTCTCACTTCACCTGGAACTAAGCTGATGGCTGGTCAGCCTTAAGGATTCACCTTTTTCTGTCCCCCAGCTCCCGAGGTTCTGGGCGTTTTAACTCAGTTTTCCATGCTGGGGCAGCAAGCATCCTTATCTTCTGTAAACCTGGGAGTCAGGGGGATGAAGACAGGGGTCTCCTGTGGTTTCTTCTGTGGTTTGTTTATGTAATCTTGGATCGTTCAGGACAGCAACTAGTTCCCACCTCCCTGGTGGCCGTTTCTAGAGATGCCACTTGAACAAGTCTGTGCAACATCTGTAAGCTGAAGGCATGTGGTCTACATCATGTGATGCACACGTTTAAAGGCAGACTCTAAATGTGGAAAGTGTGATGTGTGACATATGATCTCATGTGATG